CCCCCCCGGCCTCCCAGCCCCAGGGGAGCCGGGAGCGAACCTGCAGGCTGACGGGGCTCACCTGGGTCAGTGCTTCCCCAAGCCGGTGGAAGAGGTGGCGGCAGGCGGTCCACGGAGGCCCCGGCGAGAAGCGTGCCTCCCGGAGAGACGCTGCTGCCCCACGTCCCCGGGGACGAGGCCTGGGGCCGGGCTGCAGGGCTGGATGTTCCCGTTTGGAAATCCCAAGTGCGGCTTTCTGCTGCCCAGTCGCCAACCGGTTGAAGGCTGCTCCCAGTGGCTGCGATGCAGCGAAGGGAAGCGTTAACGGGAAAGCCCTGTAACGGCTGCGTTTACTCCCGGTAATACCCAAACACCAGATATGGATCCAATAAATACGGAGGTTTTCAATACGGGGAGACTTGATTCAGAGCAAGGCAAATTCTCCAGTTTGGAATCTCCCAAAATCATTGCTTGCAAAGGATGTCATAAAGCCACAAAAAGCGCAGCGACAATGCAGCATCACCGGCCCCAGCACCCTGCGATGCGGAGCAGTGCAGTCCCACTGGGAGCTGAACTGGGAGCTGTTCAGGGCAGGCACGCCGAGGCCCGAGCTCAGCCTGCAGCTTCACTCTGCCACCAGCAGCCAACCGGCCAACTGCGACTTTCCCACCCGGCAAAAAACACGGTGATAAGATAAGGTCCAAAGTTTTGACCTTTTTCTTTTTTTTTTTTTTTTAATGGAAAACGCTGGAGTTTTTTGACTAAATGATTTTTTCTATAACATTTTCCCGGTTTCTGCAGGGAATTTCAGCGAACTGTTGAAACAAAAATGAATGCCAAAAAAAAGAAAAAGTAGCGTTTCAATGAAAAGTTCAGATTTTCCACAAAATACTCCACATCCGTTTTTAAAAGGCAATAAAAAACATATACATCCCTACTCCTGTAGCTAGCAGAGGCTGAGCTGGCTCAAGGCTTCTCAGCCACATGAGCAGCATTGACCTGGGTTGCCCTTGCTCCATGCCGGGAAGCCAAGGAGGAGGCAAGGCAGGAGCCACACCAAGGAGCATGGGAGGTGGCCCCTGGGCAAGTGGTGCTCACCAGTAGCGGCCTGGCGAGAGCAGGAAGGGGGCCACCCCGTCCCAAACCCCAGTGTCCCTGGTGAGATGCACCTATGGTTCATCACCACCCCCTGCCCACCATCCCCAGCAGCTGCCCACTTGCACCCACCTAGAGCAAGCAAAAAAAGATTTTTCTACAATTTCTTTCTTTTCAAGAAAACAAAAGCTATCTAAAGACTTTTAAAGATATTTTTAAAGCTACAAAATAAACCTGCAGGCCAGCAAAGCTCACCTCTGAAAGTAGTTTCTGAGCCAGGAGATGCCATCAGCAAAGGGCTCGTGGAGTCCTCTATGAAGTGCCTGGGGTCTGGCACGCGGCTACTCCCACCAGTCCGGGCACTGGGTGCGCTAGGTGAGGACTGGGGGTGTTCGGGAGAGCTGGGTGCCCCCGAGCTTGAGATAGAGCTGCGGGGCAGAGGTGGCAGCGTCCCCCCGCTGCTCCTCGAGGCGGTGGGTGAAACGCCCGTGCCACCAGCGCGAGGACCGGACGGCTGCTCCCTCCTCGCCGAGCTGCTCGCTGGAGGAGAAGGGCCACCGCCGGTTGCAAAGCAAGAGGGGAAAGCAAATGAAAACACATAGACATAGACGTACAAAGCACTGCTCCCACAAAAGCGGCCCTTCAGGAGTCACCATGGCCTCTACCGATATTGCAGCGCAAAGGGAAGCATTTCACCGGGACAGCAGAAGGTCAGGGGCTGCAGCGCTCACCTGGAGGATCAGTATCCGAGGACGGATGCAGAGGCAGCGTCCCCGCTGCATGCTCTGACGTGGCGATGTCCCAAACCCCGCGGCTCTGGCCGGTTGGCAGGAGCGTTTCCCCATCGACCACATCGGCCGAGGTGCTGGTAGTTCCCAAAACTGGTGGTGTCCTCTCCGCAGCGCGGTTGAGCAGCACCGGCGTGCTCGTAGAGTCACTGGGAGACGCCAGAGCTGTTTTCCCTCTCTCCGAACTAGTGGCCGGGGGGCGACTGCTTCCAGCAGCTGGGACACAGGGCAAGAAAATTAATATTTCTGCTGAACAACTTAAACCGTCCTGGCTGGGCTTACAGCAGCGTCACACACAGTGGCACCCAGCGCACCCAGCGCTACGTGATGCAAGTGAGGTTACAGCAATATTCCCCGTATTTCCTCTGCTTAACACAAAGCATGCTGCAAGAGGGACTGCTGGGCAAAGAAAGCGCCCATTACTGAAAAATCTCAGTATTTCAAAATCTGTTTTCATTTCTGTGCAGCAAGAAAATCCAGACATTTCTTTAAAAATGTGAAAACGCACAAAGTGGTGAGAAGCTTACGCCACGACAGCCACCAGCTGGCAGGCTGGGCATCTGCCGAGGACACGACGGCTCCCGGTTCAAGCCCTCAAACGGGAAAAAAAAGACTAATTAAAAAAATAAAGACACTATCTAAGTTCCTATCCCAGTGAGACACTTACTTCATGTAGGGGTGTTAAGAAAAACTTTGAAACGGGAACGGTGCAATCAGCACGGACTCGTACTGTCACTGGGGGAACTGGGCTTACATTCAGCGAACTGTTAAGAAAGCCCCTTAGTTTATCCATGACCGTAGCCCTGCTGAATCTGGAGAAGATGACAAATGAGCACAAAGACAGGCATTGAACTGCATGTTTTCAGTGTGAGGGTCTCAGCTACAGACCGTGACTTAGCTGCTCTTTAGCGTGGGCACTTTTAATCTAGCTGAGTTTCCTGACGGGGTTCGATTCCCCTGGCACAAGCGGAGAAGGGGCACGGTAACGCCGTCCGGGGATCGAAGCGAGCCTGAGCTGATTAAACCCCGTTACGGCGGAAAAAGGGGCCTGGATAAGCATGGCCAAAGCCGTCCGGTCATGTTCAGGGGAGGAAACTGCGCTTTGATATAGGTGTATAGGGAAGGTGAGGTATGCAGAAAGGACTCTCTCATGGCGCTGCTGAGTCTCCGCTCAGGAGAATCGCTTTCATTGCAACATTTGAAAAAGAAAAACCACAGTTTTCCTGGGAAAGACGGTCAAAAAACTGAATTACTAGCAGTGGGGTTGGAATATTTCATAAACCATTTTTGCATCTATAACACTCACCGGGACGAGCGCTTTGCGAGGGCGGGAGAGTCGGCCTCTCGGCAGCCTGGCTGACGAAAGGCACCGCTGCATGGCGTGGAAAACGCTCCCCGCGGTCACCCCCGCGGCGGGCCACGGCGTCCGCTCTCCGCTCCCGGGGGACATCGGCGCAACGTCCACGCGAGAACGGGAAGTCCTTATTTCGGGGTCGGCGCTCCCTCTCCCCTGCTGGCCGCTTTCGATGACTGGGAGGGAAAAGAAGGCGGCAGAAAAAAAAAAATAATTAAAATGCGACCAGTTTTGAACGCGCAGGCTCGGCTTGTGACGGTAACATCGAGGCTGAGCTCGGGTCTTGTTTACTCTAGAAATAAACCTCACACAATCAAAACAAAGACATGAAGTCTATTTTTGGATTCACATCAGTGGAAATTAGATTGCTCTGTGGTGCCAAATTCTGAAGCCAGAGACATCAGGCCAAAAGACAGGAATTTATGGCGTGGATTAAATCAGCCTTCTGGGTACTGAAGGGCACCCAGGTACTGAAGGTCACCCCAGATGAGAGGTGAGAGATGGCCATTTTGGATTCCCAAACTTAAGGCCCACATCTGGGCCTTAAGGCCTATCACAATAAGAGAAACAGGATAGGGAAGAAGTTTGTACATCTTCAGGTCCTTTCCCTGTGACCACCACAGCCTGGAGCCCCGGCCATGCTCCAACCTAAAAGCATTTGGGTCTTCTGTCCCCCTGCTCCTGCAGGAAGGCTGCTCCAAACTCTCACTTCTCCAGTCACCCAGGATCATTTTCCTATTTCCTTGGGAAACGAGTTAACGCATTTATTGAATATGTATTTGCTCCCAAGACCCGTGAGCTTAGAGGGTTTTTCCCTTCCCTGTGCTTGCTCCCCACCTGGCCTATGTATTAACAAGAGCAGCCCCATCCTCTCTTTGAATAAGTTTGTTGTTCACTTCTTACTCACGCCTGAGCCTTCCTAGCACACTGATGCTGAACCTACCGCCTGCTCTATCTCCTGGACCCAAAAATTGCCCCCCAAGGAAGTCACTAGGTATTAAAGGATCTTCAGAAACACGCAGATGGCCACCTGCATCTTTAAAATCTAAATGCATTTCCAAATCAGGCCCTAGACAAGGACTGAAGATGTTACTCAGCAGTTAACTTCCTGGTTCAATTATTAACACTGACTGCTGGCAGCAGCAGTAGGATTTAATGTTGCAGCTACACAGCTTTAGCCTTATGTGCCATATAGCCTGACATCATTTTGAGCACAGCATTTAATGACAGCTGCTGTGAGCAGTTTAAATGAGATTTACGGGTGGAATTCAGGTTTCCAGCTAGCTGTACCAGCCAGGACTGTGTGCAAGGCATGAGGATTTCCATTCACATTGGTCACGTGCAGAACAGCAGTGAGCTTGATTGACCCATGTTCACAACCCTGAGGCTTGGCTGGCATTTCAGAGTCAGATGTTCTTCAGCCTACAGCAAGTCAGAGTAAGTCCAAATCACAGCTGTGTCCTCCGAAACTGGAAGTTAAGGTCCATGTTCTTTATGAACATAATGCAATTTCTAGGCTGGAGGAGTCCAAAGCACGCCCCACTTGCCAAGTGGACAGGACGGAAACCTTGCTATGCAGACATCAATTTAGGGTGTCGGGGCCTGAAGCCTCTCAGTAAATTGCGAGGAGTCTCATAGGGAGGGGAACTCTGCCCATTTTGCTACATAGCAGCTCTGAGACCCACCAAGCTCCAGGACAGGTCCTGCCCTCGCTGATCCACTCCCAGCCATTGGGCACACGGTGCCCCAAAACAAAGGTGTGGATGAGATCAGCACAGCTGCTAATGGCACCATTCAGCCTCTGCCCAAAAGACCTGATGCATCAGCTAAGTCACTGCTCCCTTTCAGGGCTGGTCTCTTCTTTTTCTGTCTACAATAGCTTCAGTGGGAAATTACCAAGAAAAAACAAGTTGAGAGATGTGTGTAGCCCAGCCTGCACGTCATCCCAGGAGTCTGAACAACGTGGGGCACCAGGAAACCAGAGCAGCCGCTGAGCAGAGTCTTCTAGGTGCCTTTAATGATAGACCTTGTGCCCAGCTGCGATGCCCCCGGAGCTGAGCGCCCCAAGCATCCTGGGGCCATTTAAAGCCCGTTACGAGCCAACTCTCATCCCATTTAACAAGCCGCTTGTTGCAGCCATTTGGATGTGGGGACCCGACATGGCAGTGGGGCTGCTTGCTACGTTCATTTGCAAGTCAATACCCAGCCTGTAATTGTAGCCCGCAAGTCTATTTATAGCAGCAGTGACAAATTTGGGCATTTATAGCAGCTGACAAATTTGGGCATGCTGGAGGGCGGTGCACTGAATTTCTCTCCGTTCCCCCGCTCTGTAAAAGCTTTCAGATGTACAACCCATGCTTGCTGTGCCACCGCGTCCGGCTTTGCTGCACAAAAGAAAGGCAAGGCAGCAGACGCTTAAAGAAACCCTCCGGGGATGAGTACAGACAGGGTGAAACTTGCCTTCCCAGGTTGCCAAGTAATTTGTCAACAAGCGACCAAGCAAGGCACGCTCAGATATACGGCGAGGCGTTGCAGCAGGCTGCCCGGAGGGCCGACGCATGCACGCCAAGCGTGAGAGTCCCCAGTGAAATTTCCACTTCTTAAAAATAACTCTGGGAAAACGACAGCAAGGAGTACCTTAATCTAGGACCCTTGATCAAACATAGCCAGTTTGAAAGTAAAATGCTGCTGCTTGTTTGCCTAGCTGTTGTTAGCCCAGTAACTTCACCCCGGAGTCTGGCCGTAAAGGATTCATTGATATTTTCCTGCTTGCACACTGTAACCAGTTGCAAGCCGGCTGCACAAGTTGGGCAATCGCTAACTCCTCTTGCCACTGGCCTCAGCAAGGCCAAGGTCTGACCTGCCCCGAGGACACAACCAGATCGGGGCCACGAAAGGCGGAGGAGAGCCTAGTTTGCATCCCGGAGCGTAATTTGGCTTGTTTTCTCCAGCCTTGTTTGGCTCTGCCGAGCTACTGGGAATAAAAAGCAGCAAAACACTTAGGTTTATCATGGGAGTCAGCAAATCTGGCTTTGAACGCAGCCAGGGAGCAGATGTGCTGAATGAGAAGGTATTATTTACGCATGCTTTTTAGAGTGATCTGGCACTTTTAACTATACCTTGGCAAGGCAGGCTGGTCCCCGATCAAAGGAGGAAAACCACATGCCAACATACAGTTAGTGGGTACAGCTCACCTAGCTGCGTTGGAAAATCTGGCCCACGGTACGCAATAAGGAAACCTGAAAGAATCAGTTACGTGAGCGCTCCATCGACAGCAAAACACAGGCGAACTCCCAGCTCCTCACGCAGCCCTCAAGTCTGCTGGAGATGTGAGACAACCGCAATCTCGTTTTTTGTTGACATGCCTGCAGAAATTAGTCTTCAAAGATGACCCTCCGTTGGGAGCAGATGGACCAGATGCAAACTTCTTCCGAAAAAATAAACAAGGCACCATCTGGCCTCCTCTGATGTATTAAAGGCTTAAACCATTGCAGCCCTTTAGCTCAGGTACAGATTTGTCACTAACAATTTTGTCACACCCGAAGCTGCCGAGCGGGTTTCTACGTTTTAACTCCGCACGACCACAGCTGTCACGGGAAATATTTCAATTCTAACGCGAAACTGCCACCGCCACCTGCCGCATCGGCGCGGGCTGCTTCTTGGAGTGGAGTTATAACACGTCCGGGAAAAACAGATCAGGTTTTTCAGGCCGTGGGCAGCCTGCGTGTCTCGGTACCTTCTGAAAACG